TTTGCAGTGAGAAGAAGAAGATGTGGGATCTTGCTCTTGCCCAAGTAGATTTACTTACAACACTGCTATCCATTGGTCCACCAAGATGTCACCTTTTGCAATTGTCTACCGAAAGGTACCAGCCCATACTCTTGATCTACTTTCCCTTCCAATAGGTGTAGAGAAGAGTATTGCAGCTAATAACTTGGCTACCAAGCATGTGGAGGTGTTCAAGCAAGTATAACAATTCATCACTCCTGCCAATGACAAATATAAAGCTGGAGCTGATAAACACCGGCGTTAATAATTCTTTTATTGTGGGTGATTGGGTTATGGTGTATCTTCGCAAAGAACGTGGCGGAGGACAGAAGAAACTTGATTCAAAAAAAATGGGCCATTTCAGATACTTAAAAAGATCAATGATAATGCCTATGTGCTTGACTTGCCCATGTCGCTTGCTTGCCCCCCGAAGCCATCAAGATTGTCCCAAACTTTTCAAATGTTTGGCCTGATTTGAATGTCCCATATTTTTGCCTACTCTGATGGAATTGATGAAATAAAACTTGTGAGGGTAGTTTCAATATAAAGCTATGAAGATAGGATTGATGCGGAGCAAAAAAGCAACCCTTGAAATAATTATGATGGAATTTTTTTGGAAAATCGCGTGCAAACGCCCAAAAAGGAAGAAGAGGCAAAATACGGGTCGTGGCCATATCCCAGGAACGCCCGTGCCAGCCTCTTGGAAGGTCCCCGCAGGAACGTGAAGGAAAACCGCGTCCCAACTAAAGAGAGCGAACAAGCTTCGCACATGCCCCAAGTGTATTTTATTTATCTGTACTCACCTTCTTTTCTCTCCTCTCGTTCTTGCTCTTATCTCTCTTTGGATTATTCTTAAGCCTCTTTTATCTTTTCTTTTTATTTTTTTGTTTTTCTCTATTTTTTAATGTTTTTTTATTTTTTTCTTCTTGTATTTATCTTTATGTTATCTATATTTTATTTATATTTTCTCTCTTCTTCCCTCTCTTAAATATGTTCCCATGCTTATCTTTTTTCTTCTCTATTATTTTTTTTAATTCTATTATTCTTTCTTTTCTTTTATATATACTTTTCTCTCTTTATTTTTCTTATTATCTGATTTTTTTAATATTTTTAATTATTATTATCTTTATTATATCTTATATGTTTATTTTTTTTTGTTATCCTTTGGCACATATTCAATTATATTGTAAAGTCATTAAGTTCCTTTAATCAATATAACCTTTCTTTATTGAGTTTTTTGTCTCCATTTGATTCTGTTTTAAGATTTCTTCAAAACGTTTCAAATTGATTCAATTTGTATAATCTACTCCTGATTGGATGGTAATACATCTATTTTTTATTTTCCAATTTACATGAGCCTATCTGGCGCTAAATAGTGCTGTTAAGTTCAATTCGAATCTATGTTAATTCTTTCCGGATGATGTTATATTTTTGACCTGATGCTAATATTATATTGAATAAACATATTTCCATTTAAAATGAGTAATTTATGAAAGAAATTCTGCCTTTATTGATTCATTTGGGTTATTTGAAGTATAGAGTAAGCTAAGCCATAGTTTAGGGTTTGCAATCCGCCCTAATCCACCTTTAGTTTGATCTCAGGAGGTAGATTTGGGTCTAAGCTACAAATTTTCTGGTCTGGTTCTGTTAGGAAATATGAAATTAATTATGAAAAAACGTAATACTTAAACAATCTTAATTTTTTTGAAGAACCTATGTTGATATAGGTAAGTTGAGTATGTGAGTTTTATGCAAAGTTTTGGGTTTTTGAATAATACTATAAAATTAGTGAAATCTTAATTGATTGTTTTAGTACTTTTTTTTTTTCCAATTAGAATGGTATAAATAGGTTATTTTGTATCTTTGGCACATTCATTAATTTTTTATCATTATTCTTATCAATAAACTTCTATGAGTTTAGTTCTCCATTTGATTCGTTAGATCAAACGTCATTGATCAAAACTCCTGATGGAGTATAATCATTTATTCCCATTTACATAGCCGTTCTGCGTCAAATAGTCTGTTAATCATCAATCTATTATTCCCGATGATGTAATTTTGACTGATGCTAATAATATATGATAACATATTTCCATTAAAAAATAGTAATTAGTGAAGAATCTTGCTTTATGATTCATTGTATTGAAGTATAGATAAGCAAAGCATATTTAGGTTGCATCGCCTAATCCACTTAGTTGGTCAGGTAATTGTCAAGTCACAATTTGGTCTGTCTTAGGAATATAAATATAAGAAAAACGAAATACTTAACATCTTATTTTTAACCATTTGAAAGAGTTTGAGTAGGAGTTAGCAAATTTGGGTGAAAACCTAAAAAATGTGAATCTTATTGAATGTTTAGATTTTTTTTTTTCCAATAGAAGTTCAAAAAATAATTAAAATTTATCAAAAAAAAAAAAAAATAATCGAACTGAATGAATTACTCCAAATTTGAGTTAAGGTATTATAGATAAGGTTGTTTTTTAATATTGAAATCTGAGCTGATATTGGAATTTGAATTACTCTAAAATCGAATTGAGCTGATATTAAAATCTAAATTGAACCAGTTGCTTCAGCCGATTTTGGTTGTTGTTTTCCATGTCGGTTTGTTTTTAAACCCAGCAAATAAATTTCTATAAACCTAATTTGAATTAAATAATAAATTCGATTCAAAGCAATTAACTCGACAAACTAAACCTCCTTTAAATAATTGATCAAACTGAACTAAAATGAATCGGTTTGATTTTTGGTTTGATCGGTATTTTCCAAACCACTAGTTAGTCGTAGAATTTAAAGCCATTAGATGAAACATTCGTAGGAATTTATAAGATGTAAACTATTTAACTATTTTTATTTAATTCTTAGGAGATGAACTCTAACAGTTAGTATGTCAACATGTTAAAGACACGAGTGACTCAGGTTCAAGACAACCTCGTTGTTCTCCTCTCCTATAATTATAGTTTAAAAAAAAAAAAACATGTGCATAATTACAATTATATTCCATACGATATGTGGTCAAAAAAATGTGGCCAACCAATGAAAATTACATTGCAACCTTTCACCTTGGCTTTGAAGATTACACTACACATCCCCTCCATCTGCCTCTCCAGCAGGATACCGACTCTCCACCACATGAACCTGCCATTTGTTGGGTTCAGGCCCAATAGCCGGCCCACCTCTTTAGATTCCCAACACATCCATTACTATTATATTACTCCAATATAATAATTAAAGCTGACATTTTGTTCCTTGGAATTTAGTACAACCTGACAAAGATTATGCACGCATGGGACCACTCTGGAAATTGTTTAATTTTAGGGATGTGGATAAAATAAATAAAGACAAAAGTAAAGAAGGTAGTCCAAGATTTAGCTATCATAACAAAGCAATGTGATACATTATTTATTTATTTATTAATCCAACTTTTAACTACTATCTTGCACGAAGTTTTGTCCTATACTTAATAATAACACTTGAATTTTAAATTTAATTTCGTGGCATTCTGAATTTTATAGATGATTTATCTTATATTCAAATTTATAAAATTTAGTAATATTATATTCATTTATTTAAACTAATACCAGTAGCTTTTATGATTATCGGTTTTATATGCAAAACATTAAATGGATATATAATTAGCACAACCTTCGGAACCATAATTTTATATTTTTTAACTATCTAACAGCTATTTTATTAATCTAGTTTTATAAGTTGAAATGTTTAATATGTGCAATTTTAAGTTAAACTGTTTAATAAGTTAAAATAAAAATTAAAAGTACCATAAAGTTAAAGTAATAAAGTTCATGGGTGAATTTAGACATTCGACCAAGAAGTTCTTTTTTGTTATTATTCACTCCGTTCCACTAAATTTGACGGGTTTTATAACTTGGAATTAAGAAAACGATTGAATCACCTCAATTCTAAAAAAAAAAAAAAGGTAATTGACTGAATTACATTTTAAATAATGCTCATTTAATCAAAACAGAGTTTTAATGTAACTATATAGACAAAGATAAAATTAGAATAAAATCATTGATGCTACTTCCATTAAATGTCATATGAAAAAAAAAAAGTAAAAAATTGTAAAATTTAATGAAAATAAAAAATTATCAAATTTAATGAAATGAAGGAAATATCAAATAGTACAAAGAGATGATAATGTGACATGTATCCTAGATTCAGTGAATCTACTGCTTCCAATAGTGTTGCTTAAATTGCTTGCTTATAATTTCATAAGTGTGTATATATACATTCATAGATTCATTCAATTAAGAATTCATTTTGTGTAAGATAGTTTTCAATGTGTATAGCTCATGAACTTTAATATGGTATCAAAGTGAATAATTGTCTTTGTATAAGATGGGTTTCTACCTATAAGCCTATGTATGTGTTTTATAAACTTTAACATGATATTAGAGACTCCCACAAGATCATCAAAGTTGATGGAGATACATGCTAACCGGTATATGCGACTAAGTAATATATATAAATATTATATTATATAATATATATATATATAACTGAAAATTAGTTTATATTAGTTTGCAAAATCATTTAAAACTTATATAACTGAAAAATAGTTTTATATAGTTTGCAAATCATAAAACTTTATGACATTCTGAAAGACACTGCATCTGCATGAAGCACAAAATTAATGTAGTGCAAAAATGAATGGGGCTGTGGATGTAGAGTCATCATCATCAAACTCTTCTGAAACTCTTTTGCACAATATCATGTTGTGATGTCATTTTCCAAGAAAGATTATCCCTATGGACCTTAGTTATTAGGGGAACAAATGGGGAGACTCTCTTAAGGGTCCACAAAGAGGCACATTTGGAGTTGCTCAAGAATTCTTATTGAAAAAAAATTAAAAGAAAACGACAAAGACAAGAGGAGTCTAAAAGAGAGAAAAGAAGAATAAAGCAAAAGACAGCCCAACATGCAAGTCTGTATTATAATATAATAATTCACCATCCTCTGCCGTTGGACAGATAAGCTGTCCCTTTTGTCTCTTCCATCTTCATTTCATCCATTCCTCTACCTAAACTAAGAGAACCCATTTTTGCATTGGTCACTTTTATAAATATACTATACACAGTACTCAAATTCCCATCATTTTACTCTGATCATTGTCTTATTTCAAATGGGTTCAAGAACAAGAAGGAAGCAAAGATGGTGCACACAAACCTTAACTCCATTGTTGGAAGGCCCAGACCCAGACATGCAAGAAGAAGGTAACAAAAAGGAGAGTTCATGGGAAATAATTCGCGAATGGTTTCGACTGCAAAAGGGTTTCTCTGGTACCAATAATAATTTTTCATCAATATCACCATATGGGAGCTTTTCACCAGCCAATAAAGGGCAAGACTTGAGGCTTTTGCTTGGCGTTCTTGGGTGTCCACTTGCCCCAATCCCTCTTGTAAGCGACCCCATTCACCGCATTCACATTAAGGACATTCCTATGGTGAGCTTAACTTTCTTTCTTCTAGTATTTGCAACTTTATCGGTTTTTTCTATTTCAGTGCTTCAATGTTTTTTTTTAGCTCTCAATTTTTTTGAAATGAACATTTATAGGAAAATTGCATAGCGCATTATATCATACAACAGTATTTGGCTGCGACGGGATGCTTAAAGAGAGAAAAAAGCGTAAAAAACATGTACGCAACAGGAAGTGTGAAAATGATACGATGTGAGACAGAAATTTCATCAGGAAAGAATGTGAAGAGCTTAGGGACAAGAAGTGGAGAAAATGGGTGCTTCGTAGTTTGGCAAATGTTGCCTGGAATGTGGTCTCTTGAATTAGTTGTCGGAGGTAATAAGGTTATTGCTGGAAGCGATGGCAAGACCGTCTGGCGTCACACTCCTTGGCTCGGTACTCACGCTGCCAAAGGACCTCAACGCCCTTTACGTCGCATAATCCAGGTACCTACATTTATTTCTTTTGAATTCATTACATTGAAATGATAAATATTTTGTGTTTACCGGTGTTTTTTTTAAATCGGATCGGATTGTTCTTTCAGACTAATTCGACCATCAATCCAGCATTGATCTGATATAAGTCGATGAAAAATGTGATATGGATGAATCTTGTCTTTAAAATTAAGGAGAATAAATTCTTATAAATTTTAATTAAAATACAAAGATACATTTGTTTTAGAAATTCGGTTACGGATTGATTTAGATATATAAAATTATTTAATTTTTAGTTTTAGATTCGATTACTATATATAATTAATTGAATTTATTTTAAACTCAAAATAATTATTTTGGTAAAAATAACTGAATCAAGATTATTTAATTTAATTCAATTATTATATTATTTAATTTCGAATTTAAATACAATATTCAAATACGGAAAATCGAGCTATTTAATTTTTTCTAATTTGATTAACCCAATGCTCACTTCTAAAGAAAGACAGAGGAACAAAATGAAAATCCCAAGAAAATGCATATGCATATGCATATGGCTGACATTGATGGAGAAACTGCCTCATGCTTTAGCAGACAGACTTCTTTTTACTTTGAACAAAAACACTCAGTCACTGCATGTTTATTACAACAACTGAGCTAAGGAGTGGCACGTGATTTTCATTTTGACGTCATAATGTTCATATCAGACCAAAGAGGCTCTTGGGATTGCCACTTATTCCTTACTTTGATTTGCTTTTCCTTTTGTTGTTTTTTTAGTGGAATACTGGATAGTGAGAGCCTCATTTATTGAATTATTGCCCCCACCTTTTGTTGGCTTTTCCCATCTTCTTCGTTAGTCTTCTTCAACTTATTCTCCCAACAATCTTCACTCTTTTATTTCTTTTTCCATCTTTTTATAACAACTTTTTATAATCTCTATGAATTTTCAAACTATCTATTACCCTATTATTCGTAAATCATTGCCCCATATAGTTGAAGGACTTCGTCAATTCCATTAATAAATAATTTTTTTATGGAAATATGTAATTTTTAAAAATATTAAATTAGATTCAATAAGCATATACAATAGTTTTTCTTCTTATAGACACAAATATGTATGCTTAAAAGAATCATATAATGCAGGGCCTAGACCCGAAGAGCACAGCCAATCTATTTGCAAAAGCGCAATGCTTGGGCGAGAAAAGAATCGGCGAAGATGATTGCTTCGTATTAAAAGTAGCAGCCGATCGTGCGGCTGTGATGGAAAGGAGCGAAGGAGCAGCTGAAGTACTTAGACATGTATTATATGGGTATTTTTGCCAGAAAAGTGGTCTCCTAATATACTTAGAAGACTCACATCTTACAAGAGTACAAACCCCAGAAAATGATACCATCTACTGGGAAACCACTATAGGAAGTAGCATTGGAGATTACAGAGATGTTGATGGAACTTTAATTGCTCATCAGGGAAGATCAATTGCTACAGTTTTCCGGTTCGAAGAAGAGTCTGTTCAACATAGCAGGACTAGAATGGAAGAAATCTGGAGGATTGATGATGTTGTGTTTAACGTTCCAGGGCTTTCTTTGGACTATTTCATTCCTCCTGCTGATATATTTGATGTTTCTCCATAATTAACTCATTTTAGTTAATTATAAATTGACTTAATTTTGTTCTTATTCTCTAATTATAATCATAATACTATTGGTGGGTTTATGGTGTACTACTTTCATTTTAAGTGTAGTATTTCATTGGCTTCAAGTCATCAAAGATGAAAGTGACCAATTCAGATTTGGAAATGGAATAAGGGGCTTTTGTTCTTTTTTTCCTTTCTCTTTTCTCGTTTGTCTAGATACATTTCCATTTTCTTTCATTTCCTCTCCACTCCTTCCATTTCTTCTCAAATTGTCTAAACATAAAATAGAGTTAAGAAAGTTCATAGCAATCAAATTTCATTCAATATTTGAGATTTATTGAATATTCATTCTATATATAAATGTGAAAAATAGGGGAGAATAATATAATTTCTGTTACACCTTACCTTACTGTAAGACATGGCATGTCGCCCGTAATATACTTAATAATCACTTAAGTCTTATAAATGCTTACTAAGTATACTACAAGAGACTTAATACTGTTGATTCATTCATTTATATAATAGAAAAGTAAATTTAGTTATTAAAAATATATAATAAACATTATTAAAAATTCCTTCCATGTCCTTTAAATGAAAATTGCACTATAATCCTCCCTTTTGTTTTCCCTTCATCCTTTGTCATCCTTTGGCACTCTCTCCCTTTTGTTTTCCCTTCATCCTTTGGCACTCTAATCTTTTTAATCACTTTACTTTAGTCCTAATAGGTATCAACCAAGTGTATTTAATATTCAAAACCCCACTTAAAAAAATTCATACTCAAATTACCATTTTTCGGGCTTTTCGAGTAAAATCGTGCTTTACCAAGAAGTCATTCCTCTTTAATTCATTTTTGATTTCCTTTAATCTTTCAAATTGATTTGTAATCACATTAATTACCATTTAATTAATATTCACATCCTCAATATATACTGTTTCTCATTATTCTAGGTTTTCCTTTCATTCGAATAACCGAATGCATAAAAAAAGCTAGAATAGCAAGAACTACAAAGTTGAGGATATTACAATTTCTGATAGCGTCGTTCATTGAAATTTAAATATCATAAAATAACTTTAATAATGACCAATTAGAAAATTATATTTTATTAGTTGATTGGATATAATTTATTAAAAATTATTTTTTTATGACTATATATAATAATGAGACATTTGATTTTTATATTTTATTTTTCAAATTTATTTTTTAAAAATTTGATATTGTTTATTATAATTTAAAATATTTTATGTAGGAGAGAGATAAAAAAAAAGTATATTTTTTTATAATATTCTTTTTTTTTTCTTTATGTTTGTGTAATTTGATTAGATATATTTTTTAAAAAATAAAATTTCAAATACAATATACATAATTAATCTCTTCAAAATTTTTAAATTTTTACTTTTTACAATTTATTTTTAAATAAAATGAATATATATGTTTGTGGGATAATCGACAGTTAAAAATTTTAATTTTAGAAATATATATAATATTTTATTATTATATATTGAATATGTTTATGGGATGACGAAAGTTGAATATATTTTTATTGTTATATTTATATATCTATATATATTGAAACTTATTTATTAGCTGATATTGTAAAATTATCCGTGTGGAGTTATTAAGTGATATTATGGAATTTTAAATAAACGATATAAATTGAATTAAAAATGTGTATATATACACGTAGCTATTTTATTAATTAACTATTATATTCACATTAATTTCATAAGAAATTTCATTTTAACATTATAAAATCTAAACAATGTAAAAAGGAATTATAATCAATATTTAATATTAAAAACGAGTATGAATAATAAGTAAAAGTTAGCAATAATATAAAAAAAATTGAACAAATATGAAAAATGAATATAATCCACGTGCAACACGCGTTATAAAAAAGTTAATATTTTTAAAACGAATATTAGGCATTTTTAATTTTAAGTAAATGGACTTATTTTGTCTTTCATCTTGGACCTTTTATTTGAGAAGATCCTTGGAATTAAGGGTGCTCATATTATCGGATCCGATCATCTTCCGAGCTCGACCCTCGATCCAATCTAACCCAGAATGGGTAAACAAAGGATTTTATTTTTCGACAAATAATAGATGGCACGTTTCGTGCCAACTCACGACACTATTTTAATTAAAAAAAAACTAAGATGCAGGGCCATGTATAATGTAGAGAAAGACTTTTTGTCTAAGTTTGAGTTTCATAAGGAAAGGATAAAAGGATAATTTGATTAATGGTGAGTTGGCTTTGAATGTAATACAGTGCCGTAAATTTCATATTTCACCTTCCTAATTTTCGGCACCCTAAATATCAAATTGCGCGCTACTTAATATGGTAAATTGAAAATTAAATTTCAAATACAAACCACCTAATTGTAAGAAAAGAAAAAGTATATTTGATAAATGAAAAAAAAAATTCAGCCCAAAAAAATAACAATAAAAAATATATGAAATTAGTGAGTTGTTGGAATTTTATAGAGAGAGATTTTTGGGTAAAAAATTAATAATTATTATTCTAATGATTATCCAATCTTTCCTCATATTCATTAACAATAATAATTTTTATTATTATTCTATATATATATATAATATATATATAAAATATATATATAATATATACATATATATATATAAGTTGAATGAGGACATTGGATTCCCAAAATGCTCTCAAGTACTCTAATTGATTAAAAATATTATCAAGGATAATTTAATCTTATTATAATTAGAATAAATTTTATTAATATTTTATTGGCAATAAAAATCATTTAATCTTATTCTAATTAAGATATGATTTAATTTGGTAAACCTAGAGTTTATATTTTGCAACCAATTGCATATATATCGCTGCATATATTTTACTTCTTTGTTTTGTCTGTATATTGCCTATGTATATAATTAGTTGATATATTAGAAGTTATTGGTTTTGCCAAAATCAAAGCATATGTGTTTCACATTAATGAGCAAATCGGATTGATTGGGGAGGCATTACAAAGAAAGAGCGGATATGCTATTAACAACTGATATGCGTTATACAACCGTGCTTATACTTCTTGGGCTTGGGCGTGTCTCGTGTCTTGGACTTCCAGAGGCTGGCACGGGCGTGCTGGAAATGGCACGGCCGTGCCCCTTCTTCTTGGGTTTGCAATGATCCAAGTCTTCCATATACTTAAGTGCCAATTGCTCCGCATCAATCCATTCCACTTCAAAAGAACTCGACCTCGAGTGATCATCATCAGGATAGAAAGGGAATAAATCAGCAACATTGAAAGTCCTAGAAATCTTCATGTCTTTGGGTAGGTCAAGCACATAGGCATTATCATTAACCTTCTTAAGTACCTGAAATGGCCCAATCTTTTTAGCATCAAGCTTCTTCTATCCTCTGCCACGCTTCTTGCGAAGATAAACCATAACCCAATCACCCACAGTAAAAGATTTATAACGCCGATGTTTATTAGCTGCAGCTTTATATATTTCATTGGCAGCAGTGATGAATTGCTGCACTTGCTTGAATACCTCCACATGCTCGGTAGCTAAGTTTTTAGCTGCAATACTCTTCTCTACACCTGTTGGAAGGGAAAGAAGATCAAGAGTATGGGCTAATACCTTCCGGTAGACAATTGCAAAAGGTGACGTCTTGGTGGAGCTATGGATAGCACTGTTGTAAGCGAATTCTACTTGGGCAAGAGTAAGATCCCACATCTTCTTCTTCTCACTGCAAATGCACCTAAGGAGATTACCAAGAGTCTGGTTCACCACTTCAGTTTGTCCATCAGTTTGGGGTTGAGCGATATTGCTGTAGTGCACCACTTCAGTTTGTCCATCAGTTTGGGGTTGAGCGATATTGCTGTAGTGAAGTTGAGTGTTGAATCTTTTCCACAAAGTTGTCCAAAAGTGAGCTAAAAACTTTGTGTCTCGGTCAGATGTGATGGTTTTGGGAATGCCATGCAACTGAGCAATCTCCTGGAAGAATAATTTTGCTATGTGTGAGGCATCATTAGTTTGTCTACAAGGAATAAAATGTGCCATCTTGGAGAATCTGTCGACAACAACAAAAATAGAATCAGCCCCTCGTTAAGTTCAAGGTAAACCCAACATAAAATCCATAGATAAATCCTCCCAAGGTTGTTCTGGTACAGTCAATGGAGTGTAAAGACCAGTGTTTTGAGAATGGCCCTTTGTGTGTGGCAAATTGAGCATTTTTGGACTAGCTTCCCTGCTTCCTTCTTTAATTGTGGCTAATAGAAATAAGCTTCCAATCCCGCAATTGTTTTATCTCGTCCCAAATGTCCGCTCAATCCTTTACCATGGATTTCTCAGATTAACTTTTTTCGGAGAGAAGACCGAGGGATGCATAGCCTGTTGCCTTTGAACAGATACCTGTCATGTACAAAGAAACCGTCATGTACAAAGTTTTACTTCAATCTTAACCCATATGTTAGCAAAGTCTTCATCTGAAGCATCGAGATCTTTAAGAAATTCAAACCCCACAATCTCTTGCTTAATTGTAACCAACAAAGTTGCTCTCCTGCTCAAAGCATCCGCAACCATGTTACAAGTACCCAATTTGTGCTTATTGATATAATGAAAAGCACCAAAAAAAGATGCCCAACGTGCATGCATCTTGCTCACTTTCTTTTGAGTTTAAAAATGAGTTAAAGTTTGATGATCAGTGTAAATAATGAACTCATACCCCAACAAATAATGTTCCCAAGTTTTAAAGGCTCGGAAAACTGCATACAATTCTTGTTCATAAGTAGACCATTTCTGCCTAGTTTCATTCAATTTTTCACTAAAGAATGCTATAAGCTTTCCAGATTGTGACAGTTCACCACCAATCTAATCCCACAAGCATCACAATCAACCTCAAACAATTTATCAAAATCAGGTAAAGCAAGAATAGGGCCGGAAGTAAGCTTATCTTTAATTTCTTCAGATCTCTTATTTGCAGCTTCGGTCCATACAAACTGTCAAACTCTCTCCTTCTTCAAGCAATCTATGATGAGAGCGGCGAAGCTACCAAATTTTCTGATGAACTGCCTATAGAATGTAGCATGTCCATGAAAACTGAGAACTTCAGTGATACTTTTAGGGATGGGCAAATTTCAAATGGCCTCAACTTTTCTGTCATCATCAAGAATTCCTTCCGAGCTAACAATATAACCAAGAAACAAGATCTGCTTCGTCATAAAACTGCACTTCTTAAGATTGATGTATAACTCATTTTCCTGAGTCATAAGTCGCATGAACATGCTCGGTGTATTAGTCAACCCAAACGGCATAACTAACCGCTCATATAATCCTTCCTTGGTCTTGAAGGCAGTCTTCCATTCATCTCCCTCTTTCATTCGAATTTGATGGTACCCGCTGCGAAAATCTATTTTAGAGAACACTTTACATCCTGACAGTTGGTCCAACATGTCCTCCAGACGAGGAATAGGGAATCGATACTGCGCCGTGATCTTGTTGACGGCTCAGCTATCCACACAAATTCTCTAGGTCCCGTCCTTCTTTGGTACCAATAAAGCAGGAACTCCACAAGGACTAATGCTCTCCTGAATATGTCCCTTTTTCAATAATTCTTCTACCTGTTCTTGAAGAATTTGGCTCTCCTTTGGATTCATCCTATAATGTGGCAGGTTCAGTATCTTTGATCCAAGGATGAAATCAATTTGATGTTGGATGTCCCGAAAAGGTGGAAAGGAGGATGGTTCTTCAACTAAAGTATGGAACTCATCTAACAACTCCTTTACAAGTGGTGGTACTAGTGATCTTACATCAAATTTTATTTTCGGTTTGATCAGCAAAGCTAACGCACCTCCAGAATTCTCAATTACATCGGTTAATTCCTGCACATTGGAAGAAACAACTATTATGGATTTCCCCTCCACTTTAGAAGCTTTGGCAGAAGATCCAGAAGGTAGGATAATGATTTTCTTATTTTTCCGGGTGAACAAGTATGAATTCTCTCTTCCCTTGTGCAATGCATCTACATCAACCTGCCATGGTCGTCCTAACAGTACTCCGCAAGCATCCATATCCACAACATCACAACTAACGGAATCTGTGTACGACTTCCCATTAAGATAGGCACTTTGCCAATCCAATTTACTTCAATTGATGGACCCTACTTAATCCACCCTACCTTGTATGGCGAAGGATGTGGTTCTGTGGGCAAATTGAGCTTCTCAACCAATTGTTTGGCTATCAAATTTTCACAACTGCAACTGTCGATAATGAGTTGGACTACATCACCAACACGACATTTAGCCTGACAAATTTTCCTTCACTGAGTTTCACCTTCTTGTTTTGGTGAGTATAATATTTTTTAAACAACATATGTAATTTCACCATCTTCTAAAGCAGCCAAGGATCCATCATCTTCGTCTTCTACTTCTTCAAGCTCAGCCACCTCATCAACTACATTCACCTGTCGACGCCCATCATTAGCTCCCCTATATTCTGGACATATATTAGATGTATGCCATTGTTTCTTGCATCGATAACAATAGTCTCCAGTTGGCTTTTGATATGGATTTGGTTTATTGTTTCTGTCTGCCATGGGAGCCTTTTCGCGGGAGTTTTTATTTTCTTCTTTTAGAATCTGCGGGAAGTTTTGGTTAGTAGCAGGAGTTGGTGCCCTTGAATTCTGTCCACCGGAATTTCTACTGAACTGTTGATTTCCAGATCAATAGGGTTGCCTGAAATTCTAGTTACGATTAGGTGGTTGTCGAAGTTGCCAATTAATTCTATCTTTCGCACATTTGGCCATCTCAATTGCATCTGCCAAAGTGAGAATTGCAACTACACCATTCATAAACATTGTGTCATGATTCAATCCCCTCTGATAATGAGCCACTTGCTGGGATTCAGTCTTACAATAGTCAAATCAAGCCTGCAATCTCAAGAATTCTTCCGTATACTCATTTACCTTTTGATTTCCCTAGAAACAGTCATGGTACCTATTATACAGGATTTGGGACTGATAACTAGGTAGAAAATGCTGCTCAATCATCTGTTTTATTAAGATCCAATCTCGCACAGGTTCAATCCTTCGACGATGGCACTCATTTTGAACAGAATGCCACCATGCTGCTGCACCTCCTTTTAGTTCTTAGGCTACAATGGAAACTTTACGCTCCTCCTCAACATTCATGACCTCAAAGAATCGTTCGACCTCCGCTAGCGAGTCAAGAGTGCTTTCTATATCTAATGATCCATGTGTCAGTTTAGAGAATGATGATGCACTTTAAACAAGCTTATAAGGTTTCATTGTATAAACCCCGCAAGTGGATTTTTAATCTGACACATAAAATAAGATAAGCGACAATTTTAAAAATTATAATAATTATTTAAATAAATTGTCAGTAATTTATCTTATTTGACAACTATCTATAATCTTTATATGGGGAACATATATTATGTTATGGAAAGTTAAATTAATAAAGAGTTTAATTGTGAATTTTTAGTGGTATAATTTATGATTAATTATAATATTATGTTATGGAAAGTTAAATTTAATAAGAGTTAAATTGTGAATTTATTATGTTATGGAAAGTTAAATTAATAAAGAGTTTAATTGTGAATTTTTAGTGGTATAATTTATGATTAATTATAATAAGAATATACTGGTTCTGTAAAGATTGTTATTATAATTTATAGCCATATTAATTTATTTCTACGATCTTTGTTGTGCCTTAATTATTTTGGACCGTACTTGAGTTATATATTATCAATAATTAATAGATTAATTTTCTAATAAAAATTTTATTTATTAATTTTTTAATTAAAAAATGGATAATCTATTTTATTTAAAATATCAACCATGTGGGTGACAAAACGATTGATCTTATCGTTTGCTTTCCACGCGGATAAGAGAGGTTATTGGTTTTTTTTTTAATACCCGTTAGAGATAGCAATGTATGTTATCAGTTTTTTTAATAAGCGTTAGAGATAGCAGTGTATTCAAAGAAAAAATACAGTAGTCTCTCGAAAAATAGACATACTGAATTTCTTCCCACTCAGAAAAATAAAATTCATAAAATCAATTAAGATCACACGGTAGAAGGCTACAAGATGACTTGAAGATATATGAAAAGAATACCGGTGAATGAATTTGTGCTACAGTAGATTAGTTCTTGTGTAATTTGTGTGTGGTTTACTTTCATACTTGTTTCGATCTTGAGTAATTTTTGCTGCATATTTCCTGATTCCCATCAATTGGTATCAAAACCATCGGAAACTCGTATGAAGGTGGCCTGTTCCCCTTTTTTTTTTTTTGTCATGTTTTCGTTAGATTGTTTTATATTTCGTGTGGTACCTAATGATTATATTTTGTTATAATTATGTTGTGTTTCTATTTGATAAGTGATTATATACATTATGATTTTTTTTTTTTTAATATTTAGATACGGATTTTATGAAATTGATTTGTTAAAAACCAATCTGCTGTGTTTTTTTTAAGGAAAATCGGTTTTGCAGAATCTGTGTCATGAAAAACGATTTGGATTTTTTTTATTAAAATAAAGGAGAATTTTCTAGAATCGGGTTCTTCACAAGAACACGAAGAACACGAATATCAGACTGAACCATACGATCTGCCCAGTTGCCCGATTGGCTAGAACAGGACGAGCCAGGACGAACGGCAGCGGCTGGTTCGTCGATTTTTGGAACGAGTTTTGGTCTGAAATCGACGGCAGCGGCTGGACTCCACTGCGTCGCGTATTTCGCTCGACAGCGAGCTTGCCGGCGTCGGAATAGACGGCCATCGAAATCGCAAGCCTTGCTCGAGTCCTGGTCTGGTGGCGGCAGTGCTCCGCCTGGGCGAAGGCGGTGGTGGCGCTAGGTTTTCAGTTCTGGAAGAAGAAGATGTTCTAGCAAATTCCAAAGCAATCCTCCAAATTTTATAAACATTTATATTATGGCCCTGGAAGTTTCTGTGTTTTGCAAACAGATCCTAAAAGGTTTTATACAGGCCCTGAAATTTTCTGATTTTTGCAGGCCTTAAAAAAAATTTTTTGTATCTTTTTTAAGTGTTTTTTTTGTAAATTCTTCTAGAAATTTGCTGTATTTTTTTAAATTACAGACAAATAGAATTTAATTTTTTTAAATAAAAAAGGAAACTTTCTTCGAATGATTTGAATTTTAGTAGAGGCATCGAAAACGACCATCTGAGTAAAACTCACTGCTATATGATAATATCCTTTGCTTTTCAGCCTTTTGTTTAGATGGATTTTTGACCATTTTTCTATTTTAGGTGAATTTTTTCTTCTTTTTTTTTAAAGGGAAATTTTTGAATAAATTTTTATGGAAATTAGATATTTTTGTTAATTAGTCCAATGGAATTTATTTATTTTTAATAATGGAATTTATTTATTTTTTAATATATATATATATTATATTAATTATATATATATATATATTATATACATATATACACACACACGTTTATAAGTGTTTTCATTACTTCTTAGTTGTGACTGCTTGCATATTGTTCTCTATCGACAGATGATATGTATTATGTAAATTTTGAATTTGGTGTTGTCTATATTATTTTAACTCTCCATATGAGTAATTTAATTAGGGGCATGAACCAGTTGTAATGATTTTTCACTTATAATTATTTTATGGCACGTTTCTCCATCAAGTAGTGCTTATATGTTTAATTTTTATGTATGACATGTGATTAGTTTAATTCTCCCATCGAGATTGCTGCTCATGAATGTTGTTAGAAATGCATAAGTGAATTTTGATATCATTATTGTCTATTTTGCACTTATGATTTAAATTCTATTAATTATTATTGATATGCTGTTTTATTTTTAATGCATGATCTTATAAAAGAAATGGGATCACTCAATCCCCTGACCTACATCCTAACCCAAAACAAGCTTGAGGGTCCAAACTATGTGGACTGAAAAAGGAATTTAGACATTGTGCTTACCGCTGAGGAGTACAAGTTTGTGCTTAGTGAGGTGTGTCCTGAAAAATCTAGTGAGGGTGCCTCGAAGAGGACACTAAGGCTTACTAGAAATCGATTAAGGCTGATGAGATTCCACGATGTTACATTTTGGCATCTATGTCAAATGTTTTGCAACATCAGCATCAGAACATGGAGACAATTCATGACATCTTAGAGAATCTCAAAGAGATGTTTGGAGACCAAACTAATGCAGCCAAGCAGAATGCACTGAGAGATATTCTTACTTCTAAAATCGAGGAAGGAACTTCTGTTAGAATTCATGTCCTGAGGATGATGAGTCTTCTGAATGACATGGCTAAAATCGAGGAAGGAACTTCTGTTAGAATTCATGTCCTGAGGATGATGAGTCTTCTGAATGACATGGAAGTTCTTGGTGATGTGCTTGACAAGGCTACTCAAATTGAGATGGTCTTGAACACTCTGCCAGCCAGTTTTCAGCAGTTTCATTTGAACTAAAACATGAACAAGATGGATTTTACTCTGTCTAAGTTGCTGAATGAGCTGTGGCTACTGAGACTATTATTAAGCAAGGAGCTGCACCTATTGTGCTTAATGTTGAGCGAGGTTGTTCTTCTACCTAGAAACAGGGTAAGAAGAAGAAAAAGGCTCACAAGCCCAAACCCAAAACAGTTGTTGCAGCTAATGGTGCAAATGGTGCTATGAAAAAGCTTGAGGGCAAGTGTTTTCACTGCAAGCAACCTAGTCTCTGGAGGTAGCAATGTCCAACCTGGATAGCCAAAAAAAAGCAAGGTGCATCTCTTTTCTATTTATTGATTGTTGAAATCTGTTTAGCGGTATTGACTACATTCTAATGGTGTATAGACTCAGGAGCCACTAATCATGACTACAATTCTTTGCAGGGGTTTCAAGTAATATGCAAGCTATGTGAAAGAGAAGTCAGCATCTTTCTGGGAGATGGCACTGTAGTGGTAGGTTTAGCTGTAGGGAATGTTACCCTTAGTTTTTAAGAATAATAGAACATTAGTTTTAAGGGATATTTTGTATGTTCCTTTAATTAGAAGGAATTTAATTTCTATTTCTAGTTTGAGTAAGAATGCTTATTCAGTTTCTTTTCATGAATTTTATGATGATTCTATCGTCATCAAATTTAAGAAACAAATGATTTGTTTTGGCTCATTGATTGGTGATCTATTTATTCTTAAAGTATCACCTGAACTGCAACTTAATGATTTTGAAATAAATAACTTTGATGTTGTTGTACTGTTAAAAAGAAAACATCCTATTGAATCCAATCAAACATATTTTTGGCATTTAAGGCTTGATCATATTAATTTATATAGAATTTCTAGGTTGGTTAAGGATGGAACCTTGAGTTCATTGAAAGTAAAGGCACTACTAACCTGTGAATCATGTCTAGAAGGTAAAATGACTAAGAGGCCTTTTACCTTAAAGGATAATAGGCCCAATGAGTGTCCAAGCTAGGGGTGGTTTTAAGTATATCAAACATATTTTTTTGGGCAATTAAAGGCCTTTGAAATCATATTTAATTATATAGAATTTTCTGGTTGGGTGGTTTTAAGGATGTGATACCTTGGGAGTTAATTGAAAGTAAAAGGCAC